AAGAGTAGTACACGTAGACCTTTTTTAAGGGGGGGGGGGGGAAATCATCGAATGACTGCTCCCGCCTGGGTGAGGCGGGAGGTAGTGTCAGACTCTTACTGACTAAAAACCACCCCGTTCCTTCTCCTGCACGTCGAGCCGGAGCCCCGGTTACTAAGGTTCTCGGCGACAGTACACGTAGACTTACAGGATACAGATGGGTGATAAACAAAAATGCTCCTGCCCTACAATTAGGTACTAATTTTCTAGTAAAACAAACCATTATTATACTGTCTTTACTCTTAATGCATTCCCGAAACACAGTGGCATCTGTTTCTAAACATAGAAGTTTGATAATCAAGGAAGTCGAGTCAAAGGGGAAGTCATTTATCCACATCGAGAATGCCCCGCAATTTATTTTTAACACATTTCGTTCTCATAAAAGACCGGACATGTCTTTTTAAACCAAAAAGGGGCATTTTGAAACTTCGATTAATTTTAAAGTCAAAATTATTTTTAAAACAGTAACGAAAGACATAATATGGACATACCCTTTATTTAGATTAGAATCGTTTATCATTTTCAACAAGAGTATAAAATATCTAAATTATAGATGAAATTGAAAGAAATTCTAGACTTTATGTATGGAGAACCCTTGAAAAATATACCTACCCAATAGTTGGCTGAGTGTTTTATCGATTGAAACTAACAATAGACGTTAAAGTACTAAGTGGCGACGATGGGGGTTGTTGCCTATGAGGGACATATTGTGAACTTATTACACGCTCTTATTACTGTATATTAAGGTCTGTTTGTGCATCAATTCTATACATTTAAATCAGTTAACATTGTACTCTCTTAACCAAAATTATTGCGGTTCAAATAAATACGGAAATTGTCTCATAATTCTCACACAAACCAGACAAACGCATCGATCATAACTACAACAAATCTTTTGGTCGGATTTGATATTCAATTATTCAAAAACGTGACCGTATCTAAGGATAAATAATTGCATAGTCTATTTAATATTCAGCAAAGATATTGAATAACATTACGAATATCGTTTTCACAATTTTCGGTTGAAAATAAAACCGGCTTACATTTTATCACGGGAAGTAGATAAACAAAGTCGGAATTTAGAGTCCAGAATTGTTTTGATTGGCACCATCTCCAGAACAACATACAACACCGGGATCATACGTTCAGAACAGAGAAAAAACATTACTTACCCATTTTAAAGTCCTAATTTCTTCCCTTGTTAATTTACTGAGCTTACACTAACAAAGGTAGCTTGATGGGAGACCATTATTATCACCTCGAGACTCTTCTGTGGGTGTATGACATTGTTAACAGTTCAGGTCTTATTCGTGTTCCACAGACCGCATTTAGCCAGTTATTTAACGGTTACCACTGTCAGAGAAAAATCTCGACCCCAAAAAGCAGTTTAGCGACAAAATAACTTCGCAAGGTCAACGTACAATGATTACGATTTACGACCAAAATTATGTGGGTTCCGGTCCACGCTTTGCAACGTCATAAACGTAGTAATCGTTGAAAAACGTTTTACGTTTGCACTTGATTTAATATTTTTTAACTATCGACGGTGTTAAAGATCGTAAATTTCGCGCTGTGACGGTGGAATCGATGACGAACTTTTGTGTCGTGGTTGATTAGATATCACGAGTTGTTTTGACACGTTAACGCCAATCGACAGTCATTGCTGCGCATTTTGGTTTAGCTATCAATGTCAATCAATAGTTCTAATCTATGATAGCATTTTCTATAAAAGTAATATGTCACTTCTATGTAGTAGGAATGCGCATTTTATCATTAACAGGTATGTGCAAAAAATATCGTAAGTTGTCAACCAACATACATTACGCTCCACTTCCTCAAACCGGTATTAGTATAAAAGGCCTTTCTCTTTTTTTATTGTAGGTACATCTTCAGCTGTCTTCCAGTACAGTACTCAATATTGTATCTAGGTACCTTTTTAAAAGAAATTCGCATTTCAATCGCGACTTTGGAGCTTTAACCACATGACTTAGAGTTCAAAATTCTTTTTGGAAAATGTTTATCAGTAAAGAAAAGGCAGCCAATGCGAATAGTAGGTGTGTTCTGTGTTACAGTAAAAACGTGCCAGCCACTGATAACAAGTACACCAGCAATCGTGATTACTTTCCCAGTGAACCAAAATGATAAGAGATAATAGAAATACCTCGACAATCTATTTCGTAAGTCATAATCCTCGTATTAGTTGCAAATATTAGATTACGGGTGTATCTCAATTAATTGATTCATAGATAACAAATAGGTATTTGTTTTACAGGAAACACACAGATAACAATTTTTATGATAAAAATTTAATCACCCCTTATAAGATTTTTATAAAACTGCATCTTATTAGAATATGTCACATGTTGATTTGTTTTACAAACCAACTCCAATAGAATTGATGATGCAATCTTGAAAAAATTTAACATCGACTAACTATGACAAACTTTACTAAGATATAAGTACTGTATATCATAATATTGCAATATTTAAACCACACACATGGCATTGTAATAAATATGCACACACCCACTTAAAACCTATTACTTTTAATAACAACAGTCATATCCACATTAATATCAACAGTTTGATAATGAAAAGTACATATTTTTAATCTAATGTTACAATGAAATATTCATTTCTACTTTCTTTTATCTGTGATTACATGTTACAGTTGACTGGTTTCCTTGTATTATGGCGGCATGGTCTAATTCCTATCAGTTATAAATTGAAAATTAAACATTAATTTATGTTTGGGTGTTGTCGTTATTTCAAATGGATATGGTATATTTTACCATACATTTAAGCCTGTTTTTCCAATGCCAGATAAATCTTATAAGAGGAATAATTTTGTATATTTGACAATTCTTCCTTGCTAAAAACTGTCAAGCGTCAATGTTATTTTACAGTTGACAATTAACTGTTTGATTGAAAAATCTGTTCCAATTAAATTAGACTATATTGTATCTAATACAGTAGATGTATGAAAATTTTGGAAATTAATGGTTTAATCATTAATGTAATCTCACATTATACGCTTAGTTACAGATGATAATTAAAACAGGCCTTTAATTAATCGGTTCTTTATCAACAATCAATGATGAATCAACTAAACAAAGATATTGTTCATTACAGATGAATATGGCAATATAGTTGCATGATTTGTATTTTCTTGTGATGTGCTACGGTTTCCAGTTACGTGCAAGTAACATCACAAGTCACAAGTCAAGCAGCAATTTGTTCACCAAATTTGAAATTAGTATAACACTTTTACATTGACTAATTTTTGATTTACTTTTTAACCATAGTTAATATTAAGGTAATTTTTTTTATTGCTGTTATTAATTAAGTTAAAGTTACGATGGAATAGGCATATACAGTATGTATAAAAATTCCTTAAAAAAAATAAAGAAGAAAAAAAAAACCATTTTTAGCACATTAGTTTAAGAAGGTAGTGTGAGAAACTAGAGATTTATTTTTAAGCCATTGAATGATGAATGCAAGTGACAAATATATGAACAAAAACAAACGATTGTGTACAAAAAACTGAAGGCCAGTGAAGGCAATGAATAGAACTGTTCACTTTCACTGGTAGCTGCAGTAATAATAATAAATAAGAAGTTATTATTATTACTCACCCTTCTGTTGTCACTGAGTTTAGAGACAATGTCTCCGCAATTATCATCTCGTGGTCCTCCTTCGTCTGGTCTTCAACCAACTGGGCCTCAGGGGACAGCTGAGATCCTGGCACTTCCTCCTCACCAACCTCCACTTTCTGACTGACATTATGCAGTCCTGATAGGTCTACTTTCGTATCGACACCGCCCTCGCCTTGGAGAGCCTCCGAAACCACCAAAATGAAGAGAGCACAACTGTGGAGTACCATATGAATTAGATTCTAATAGGAACATTTACACATAAGTTCAGTACAAAGAAAAAATGCTTACGGTACCTGGATAGCACTGAAATTGTCAGCAACGACGTGTAGATAACACATAAACCACCCTTCATCGTAATATCAATGAAATATCCACAGTCCATATCATTTTGTGCGTAAAATTAAAACATATTCGCGACGCCTTCAAACTCAACAAAAAACGAATAATATTAATAATCACACATAACACCAACACAATTAACACATTTTGAGGGGTTGAATAATATTATAAAAATTAGCTGCCGTCGCCAAACGGATAAAATGTGGGAACGAACTTTTGCTCAATTTTACTAAAATCGAATCGTGTAATTTGACAGTTGCCAAAATTTTTTGTTCTTGTTGTCAGTATCAAAATAAACGATTTCTATTGGTGAAAAAAAGTAAGAGTTTTAAGAAGTTGAATTTGCACCAATAGCAGTTAAACATTTAATACCTTAGCTCTGTTTTTATTGGCGCTGCCTTTCGCTGCCATATGACTTTTGCACAAGTTTCATTTTAAGCTAGAATGCTATCGACGTTAGCTATTTTTTGTAAAAGATAAATGGAAAAAAGAAAAAACCTACTACTAAATAACCTTTACTGATTTTATGCACACTCTTGAACTTTTATGTAAATAGTAGTATTATATCTTTTGTACTAAAAATGATGTTAACATTTATTTTTAGTTGTGAAAGTCACTACAGTGAAACGGAGTGGTTTGAAGTCAGTATTAGTGTTGTACCGCTTACATCTTTTTAAGTTCCTAAGACATTTTTATTACTCCACCATTCAACTAGTGACAGAAAAATAAATTGTATGATACTTTATGAACGGTTAATTAACTTTCAATATATTGATTGAATAAAGTTATAGTATTATATAAGCAGTATTTTTAGATGCAAAATATTCAACGAAATATACAGATAGACTATTCTTTCCATACTTTTAGTAGATTAATGGTAACATCACTAAAATATAGATAATGCTGTCATCGACGTCAACAGGCGTTTAACAAATTTATCGGTTCTTATTTCAATAAATTCGAAAAATGGAGGCTTTATTCGCAATACCTTTCTCAGTTCTTGAAGTTCCTAATATTAAAATTAAAAAGCCGACATGGCTACAACCTCCGTCTGCCATGACAACCTTCTCTTTCGTGCTTCTTTCATACTTCTTAGTGACCGGAGGTTAGAGGGTTGTTTTGTGAGAGTACCAGTTAGTTTCTTATTGGAATATCCTGTAATGAAATATAATACGTGTTTTGTATTGTAGGTATTATATACGACGTGATTGTGGAGCCTCCGAGCGTGGGTTCAACGACCGACGAACATGGGCACAGTAGGCCGGTCGCCTTTATGCCTAATCGAGTGAACGGACAATATATCATGGAAGGATTGGCTTCCAGCTTCCTCTTCTCGCTCGGTGGCCTTGGATTCATCATCCTGGACCGCACACACAACCCCTCCACCCCCAAATTGAACAGGATCTTGTTAATCTCAGTAGCCTTCCTATGTATTCTTGTATCTTTCTTTACAACTTGGATATTCATGAGGATGAAGCTGCCAGGATATTTACAGAACTGATTGTTTACTAAAATAGAGTAAGCGAAGTCATGTTTTTATTTTAAATAAGTTTAATAAATATTTTTTTACATTCATTACAATGCTATTTCATTTTGGGAGAATATGTCTAAATTGTGCACTATTTAATGTTTTTACTATCAATATTATACATTCCAACATTGTAACACTTCATTCCTTCTTATCACTTGTTAAATATAACAATGTCAGATTACAGTATGTACCTAGTATAAACTATACATATATCTAACTATACACAAAAAGCTATGAAAGATTTACTATAAAAAACTTCAATAAAAAATGTTATTACAATACAAATTCAACTTTAATACTAACTTTAAATATTTGGCATTTCAATACAATATTTCATTAAAAAAATCGAGATATTATCACAAACTACATAATTATAAAATACTAAAGAAAGCTATCATTATTTACAAAACAATTTTTATGTAAAATATATCATTGTCTAATTAGTGCAAAAAGTACAATAAATGATTTTTAAATAAACATTGTAAAATGCGACTATTATTGTACAATCCTTATTTATTATTGCTACTGGAATACTATATTATGTATATACGAGTTATAAAAAGCCTTGTCTGATTAGGATTAAAAAACATCAAATGAAAAAACTTACTAGTCGAAATACAATCAAAGAGGACCTAAGGAAATTAGGTATAAAAAATATTATCTTAAATCAGAGGCATATTTTTTATAAGTTATAAAGCTGCTGTTCCATAGATTCATACAGTCATTGTTATAGTAAAAAAGTTCAGTAATTAAAGCTTGCCTATTTTTAAAAAAAAGTTGTATAAAATCATTTAATATATAATAGGTAGAAAAAAAGTATTTTGAGACAACATCTAGAGGTATACTTCGAGAATGCATGAGTACTTAAGTTTTCAAATTGTGACAGTGTAGAGTATTTCGTAGATCTTCAGTTCACAGTCTTATTCTAAACGCACTGAAAAATAAAATAAATTGTTAGATTTGTTAATCACATTTTATAGTTGTGAACACAGCCGTATTATCCTTTAGCTAACTAGGTAAATGCCTAGGGCATCAGTTTATAGAGGAGCGACCAACTGCCCATAAAGTAAAGGTGGCGGCACCAAAAAGATTTTCTTGATTTTATCTGCCTCTGAATAAGAAACTTAATTTATAGAAAAAATAATTGTTTCCTAGTCACTACTATTTCATTAAATGTAAATAAAAACTTAGTAGGATTTCTTAACTCTTTCAGTCACACTTTTAACTGGTTACGAATATATTTTATTCAATTATACTGAAATGCTTAAAAACCAATGCAAAGTAATTTGAAGCATACTTCAAAAACTGAATTTCTTAGAAAAGGTGGTTAGCTACAGTGACCACCAAAACTGAAAGAGTTAAAATAATAATAGTTTTTGAAGTTTGGTCTCTTTTTATACAGTCATCATAAAAATACTCACTGGCAAAAATCTGAGCTCTTATCAATGATATGTTCAAACTCGGCAAATGACAGGGCCCCATCATCATCTAAGTCAGCTTCTTCCAGAACATTCTGTACTAGCTGCTGTATCTCCGAGTCACTCAACTTAAGCTCTGGACCACACAGCCTTTCAATCACTTCACGTAAATCTGATACTCCGATCATATCATCACCATCAAAATCTAGAAAAATATGAAATAAAGAATGTTAGCTTTGCAAACAAATGTAATAGTTTCTGTTATAATTTAGCCATGCTAGTGGGTTATTTTCATGAGCATTTACACAACCTGCGGGTTGCTGCTCATGAATATAAGCCTTTAACAGGGCATGAAACTAGTCAAGTTCCTTGTAAAATAATTATGTGAGCAAGCTGAAAAACTTAATAATTTAAATGCTTAGTTCTTTAGTAAAAAATGTGACAGGCATTCAAGCTTTTTTATAAAGTGGGAATATTTAACACCACCAGAGAAACAGATATTAATTCATACCAAATATTCTAAAAGCGTGTTCAGCCTTCACAGCCTTCGGTGCCATCTCACTGAACACCGACATCATGTCTAGGAAGTCTTCGAAGGTGCAATCTCCATCATTACTAGAGCTGAATACTTTACAAATGCGATCCCTGAACGGATTGACTCGTAACTCGGGATATTGGAGTACCTTTGTCATCGGTAATTTAGCATTCTTATTGTGGCCTACTTTCTCAGGAGCTAGAGCTTTGAATTTCTGGTGAGCACTGAAATTAAAAATAATTTATTAAATCAAGTATAGCCTTAACGGCACACATAATTGTGAATAAATAAATCGTGATGACGATCTTATTTTCACTATTGGACCAAGAGTTTTCCAATGGCAGGTACAGAGCTATTTTTAATTCGCTTTAGATTCAATCACTTAGTTAATTTCATGTAATTAGCAAGCTCAAATGAATGTGCAGTGTAAATAACGATAATGCCTTGTTAAGGACGAAGTTATTAGAAACGTTTGTAAAAAATTTTAAAATAAAATCAAATGATTGTAACTCACTATAATACTTCCTTCTTGGTAAAGTAGGTCAAATCCTGAAAATAGTGATGAAATAATTAACTATTAATACAAAACTTCGTACAACATATTAGTCATCACGATAAAGTGAACAAAAATCATAACAAACTGAATATTATCTTGTTACCTCGTAATCTTGTAGTTCTTCCTCAGTAAACTGACTTTTACCTTGGCCCATTGTATGATTTAGTTCAGTGCTAAATAACTTATTCTATGAGATTTAAGTAAACAATAATAGAACACAAAGATGAGATTCGATGGGCGCAGAATAGGTAAAGCTGAAATGCGAAGATTGCGAAGAGAAGTGGTAAGAAAATCAACAATACTGTCAATGTCAGTGTCAGTGTCAGTGCAAGAAAATGCCAAAATGATTGATTACACGTTTAGTAATTTCTAGGGATTGTTTTTAATTAGAAAAAAAAAACGGAATAGAAAAATGAAACTTTGCCATCAATGCACTTTATATCTCATTTTTATTTACAATCACATAGAATTTTAATTTATTCCTCATCACTTTGAGATTCTGTCATAGTTTCTGAAATGAAAAAATTAAACGTTATATGAAAGATTCAACCTTATTTTCAAGTAAGTGTTCTTTATAATTGCAAATACCAACCGTTGGGTTTCTTCATTCGAGATGCAAATAACGAACCCCTTTTATAAGGGCCACCTGGGATGAGTTCACACACAATAGGGTGGTTGTTTTTACAAGGCATCGAAACCCACGTTCTGTGTTTGGTTAAAACAACGCAATCGAATTTTTTACGTGCTTTTCTCGGGCTACCAGGTGCCCAAGCTCGATATGTTGTACAGTCAAGGGCGTCACCTAAAAATAGACATAAAATTAACCCTTTATACAACTAAAGGTTGCGAATTAACTATCAAATTTATGTCGCTTTTAAGACTAACCATTCACGCTGATGAAAGCACTTCCGTTTTTACTCCTGAGCCCTACAAATGCCATATCAATACTGGAGCTCGCCAGGAGTTGGGCTAGTGCATCAGTACGTTGCTCGCTGGTAACGTCCACTGGTAAAGCGCTTACATTCTTACACTGACGGTATCCTAGCGTGTAGTTTTGCCTCTTTGTGATGACGAAGAACATGCCCAGGGTTGGCACGCATGTAGTATTGACATGAGCTATAAATTACGACTTACGTATTAAACATTATAGATTATTTCAGGGTTACCGTAACACTAAAAGAGTGTGTAAAAATTTAAAGGTGATTTAGGTACAGACTAAACACTTCCCATGAGATATACTTACGAACAGGTTTCGCGTAGATGCTATAGTAATCATATCTGGAGTCATTCACCATGGACAATCCGCCATCTGCTTCAGCACACTTTAAAACTTCGCATGTATAATCTATAGTCTCATTACTATCTGCCCAAGCTTCTCGAGGGCTGAAGTTTATCGCCAGGCCCTTCTTCTCAAAGCCAAGCCGTTGGCAACTGATCAGAGACGTGAAGTTGGCCTTGGAAACTATGCCAAGCTTAGAACGATAGCACTTTTCCATCAGGTGATATTTTGGAGTACGTAACTGAGTATCCACTGAACATTTTGATATGGCTGTTAAAGTTGTATCGGTAATTGATAAGAGGACTAGTATAATAAACAACATGGTACAAGAAGACCTTTTATAGTAAAAGTTCTGTAATAAATGTAGTCATTAATTATTACAACAACTTTATAATATTTTATAGCAACACTACGGCTTCAAATAGAATAAATATTTTTATGTGGCACTTTACAGGAGCTTGTATAAACGACTATTACTAACGAAATGAATGTAGTTTAGTTCCAGAAATCCTTCTATTAAACTCAATAGTAGTTACCTCGTTACTGATTGTAATAGAACTTATTAACGTGGCATGCTGTAACTTGGATGACAGAATAATTAGATAACAAGATACTGTTACATTTACGGAAATAACGTATTATTGTTCGCATACGTAAATAGCTTTTATTTTCATTATTATTGTGACTGAAAAGGTTGCATTGCCAAAAACCAGGAAGAGATGAATAGATACCGAATCAGAATCGTATGTGACCCTGATCTCGAAACTTTGTACTTCCTGCATATTTCCTGTTATTAACCAAAGAGGTTTTGACCTTAAACAAGACATTGCACAGATAAATAAAATAACCTATACAACCTCTTTCGCTGGTCTCAGCCAACAAGTTTGAATCAAAAATACTGTCTGAAAAAGTAAAGTTAATTCGAAAACCGTCAACAATCTAGTTGTCGCATTCAAAAAAGTGTCATTTATTTGGAAATGTCATTTTACTCCAATTTTATTGAGGATTATAATTATTATAATTAATTTTACAAAGTTATAAGCTTGCAGACAATTCTTGTAACGCGAAATGGGATGTTTTTACTCTAGGGGTAATGAGGAGGTGAGTGGTCATTTATGGTGAGAAGGTGGAGTGACGTAAGCAGTGCCAGGGTAGGGACAGGCACCCGGAGTGTCTTTAAGAGTATTCTTGAAAAGACATTATTATAAACTGTTTTAACAATCAATAAACTAGAGGTAGAGTCAGTTGAATTAAGGATTTGTCCAAAATACGTTGATTGGTGTTAAGACTCTTCGGTACTGGTCATCATGTGATCTGTTCTGCTCGGTTATCCCTTTTCTATAAACTGTATTATATCCCTGCACATTTTATCCTAATAACAAGCTTTTGTTTTAGATTAATATATTGAATACTTGTCTATGTCTAACAATAATCTTGGTGGGCCAGAATACTTTTGGTTACCAGTAGATAATAATAATAAATACTTAGACTTCAAAAGAAATAGAGCGGGTTGTAGACCGTCACATAGTTCATAATGAGACTTCCTTTTCACAGGACATAGTCTACGACATGTCTCCTATAAGACATTTGCCCGTGATCTTCGTGAACGGAGTCCCGGGCGCTGGAAACCAAACCGTAGCGCAGACTATATCGAACATAACTGGATACACGATGATAAGGCCTGGTGAATTGGTGCGAGCTGAAGCTTCGAAGGATACAGCTAGGGGGCGCTTGATTGCTGATAAGTTACAGGCCCAGGAAGATATACCTGAGGTACGATAGATTTAACTAAACTTTGTTATCTGACTGATATAGCGGAAAAGCAGGATGGCTATTCGCGAAATGACATGAATCATAACAGATTTAGATTCACTGAATTATTGATGAATTCATTAATTCGTAGGTACTTACTATTCGTAGGTACTTACTCTTCGTAGAATTTGATGTAAATAATATCAATCGAAATTTTTGAATATTTGATACATAATAGAAATTATCTTGTTACGGTAGGGTTCATGATAATAGGTAATTTTCCTAACCGTCCCTATTGACACTGATGCGCCTTTATACCAACTTTTTCCCATCGCAGCAACTAACCGTGGACTTGATAAAAGAGGCGATGCTAATGCAGCAGGAAGCGAAAGGGTTCATCTTGGTGGGCTTCCCGAAGAACCCACGCATGTCAAATATTTTCAACAGGCAGGTGAAATGGCCAGAGAAGGTTGTGGCTCTTGAAGTGGATAGTGAGGTATTGATCTTCTGTATTTACTTCTGTGTGATCCAGTGGCGACGTAAGATCACAAATTATTTTGAGAGGTGTGTTAATGCAACATGGGTAGACGAAAACTTTATAAATGAGACCTTATGTGCGACATTGTGCCAATGGATGAGGTCTTCTTGTGAGGCTCTATGGACCGCCAGGCCGGGGGCGATCGTAGAGTAATAACTGTAATACGGGCTATTCGTTTTCTAACATTACATTTGTGTTAAAAACCTATATTTTCTTCAATAAACGATGACATTCATTGATGATACCACCAGGTGGCAGCGACAAGATTACAGAATAAGTTATCGGAGCTAGGTAGACCGGAGTCAGAGATCAACGCGGCGCGGCAGATCGTCAAGGAAGCGGCGCACAAAGTGAAAAACGTACACAAACGATTCGGAGGCCATGTTATAAAAGTAAGGCACTATTAATATGCTTATAATGTCAATTTTCATGATCTAGCCATGTTAGTCATTATTTTAACACTTGACTAAATAATTCCATCTTTGTGTTAAAATATCCCTATCATAATAACCCTACCTTCATGGACGCCAGTGAATTATACAAGTTTCTACTTCAACCTCACCATTTTATATTTTACTTATAATGAAGAAGCTACCTACTTCCGTAACACTAAAGATCTCTATAACATTATCATCGTCAGCAGCTGGACAGCAGTGGCAATCCGAAAGCCCTAGCGTCCGCACTGAAGGAGATCCTATCAGACACTATAGAGCAGTGTCAGAAGCGGCCGGAGTCTCCAGGGTCGCGACCACCCACGGCCGTCTCCGCGCCAGCAGTGACACAGCCCTTGGTGGCGCAGTCAACTGACTCGCACGTGGAGGTAGAAGAAGCCGAGAAGCAGTAGGGTTAAACGTCTAATACTCAATAATTAATTGTGATTTGTTTTAAATTTTGCTATAATACATGTTATTGTTTTTTTTTTAGATCTTTTGTTGAGAATCCTTCCTCGTGGTTTAATACTCAAACGCTTAATTTCAATATGCTCTCTATAATAGTTTTGTAACAACAAATTCTTTGTAAAATGACAGAGATGGCACGATATTTAAGTACAATTTAACTCGTCGAGTACCGGTTTTATAGACACAATTAAAGAACAATAGGTCGCGGTCACCGGTGACCGCTTGGTGTTTGACAGTTTAAAATTGAGTAACCTTTCAGCATTCGGACGTTAATGTGATAATGGTCAGGAGTATCATCAACAGCCTATAAATGCCCACTGCTGAGCAAAGCCTCTTCTCACACGGAGAAGATTTGAGCATTAATCACCACGCTTGCTCAATGCGGGTTGGCGATTACAAAATTATAATTAGAAATAATAAGTCCAGGTTTCCTCACGATGTTTTCCTTTACTGTTTGTCAGTGGTGTCTGAATAATCTTAGAAAGTACATATAACTCGGAAAAAGTCACATTGGTACTTGCCGTTGGTAGGTTTCGAACCCGCACCCACATGCATGAGAAGCGGGTGTCTTAAATCTCCGGGCCACCACGACATTAGTATACAAGATACGGTCTGCGGTCAGGAGTATACAAGATATGAATTATATTAATTAATAAACACAATAAACAAGACTGCCTCGTTGTGCTGAAAGGTCGATTCCCGGATCGGGCATTTAATTTTTAGAGGTAGCACGGAGTCTGGATAATTATGTGCCCGGTATATGGCAATAGGCTTACCCCTATTACATGGGGCTCATTACATAAAAAGTAAAAAAGTGGGTGTTACATTGTACAGTAGCAATAATTGCCGTAATGTGCACCTTTGCCTACACCTTCGGGGATAAAAGGCGTGATGTTATGACAATAAAAAAATGACTTCGTGTAATCGCTCCAGTCGTTCATGCGTGATGATATTGACCAAGATTGAAAAGCCGAGCCCTATGGTTTCTTTTACCCATTCTGCCAGGAACCTTTTATTGTGTAATCTTTAGAGGCACTTCGTATAAACTTACTGCTTCAGTTAATGTAGGGTACTTCTTTGACATTTCCTCCTGACCTTTTTAAGTAACTAGACCAGCCAGACCCACAATGAAATTAGTTCTGGCAGAATGTCAAATCTATGAACTACATCAGGTACAGATGACTCGACAGGCAGCCAAACACGCAAAGTTACGAAGATTTATAAACCTCATTTTTGTTTTTCTGTCTGGTATGAGCTGGTAAACGAGGAGACGGATCACCTGATCGTAAGTACCTACTAGGCGTCGCCCATGGACACCTGGAACACTAGAGGCGTTGCAAGTGCGTTACCGGCCTTTTGGGATTAGGAATTTGAGGATTGTTGGGGATTCAGGGATTGGGGAAGGGTGAGGGGTAATTGTGCCTCCGGTAACGTCACTCACACGACATAATACAACGCAAGAGTTGTTTCACGTCGATTTCCTGCGTGGCCGCGGTACCACTCCGGTCGAGCCGGCCCATTCGTACCGGAGCATGGCTCTCCCACACTTAAAAAGAAGCTCAAGAAGATGGTCCGTTTCATCGATTAGGGTAAAATAATAATTGGTGTACCCACTTAACTTTTGTTTCATGCAAAGACACTATCTTTTCGGCAGTTCCGAGTTTAGGAAACATGATCGATTACCATTCACCGAACTGAATACCAAGAGCTGAGAAAATTTCGAAAAACCTAAAAACCTCATATTTTGTCTGAATCAGGAATCGAACTCAAGACCCATGATGCACTTCCAATCACCAATAATCAATGAGGCATTGAGAATTTCAGAAAACTGAAAAATACAATAATGCTCGATTCGGAAATCAAACCAGAGACTTTACTCGGCTGGTCACGGAAGCAGTCAAGTTATCAGACATGACATAAGCAGCATTTAAGCCATAAGCGGAAGACTGTCAAGGCCTCAAAGGGCGCGAAACCTTATCAAACTTTGTACAATCCCACAGATTATAAATTAGTTGCATACTTTTACCTATTATTACTTGGTACTTACGATTTTTTTTTTATTTGAACTGTAAAAAATACATTTTCGTGCATAATTGACATAGATATATAACAATAATTGAGTGTTAAATTTCAAAGAGTTTTATCATGTCGCCTATACACAGTCTCTAATTTCAAAGGAGTTTGCATACCTGCCGCTCCCACTGGCCGCTAATAAATTCTTGCAAATTTCAAAAATTTAATCAAAATGACAAGTGACAGTGCATGTCGTTGTCAATTGTCACAAAAGCGCATCGATTTTCGAAACAAAACATAAATAAAACGCATTCATTCCCCACAGAGCGGTCTTTGGCTAACCATCGTTTACCCATTTTGTTTATTTCATCACCAATTTTCACAAGATACTTCTGTGATGTCAATTGTAAATATCATAATTAATTGGCAGCTAATGTCAAAAGCGTGAAGTTTGGTGGCGGGAATTGCACTTTGTTGATTATTTGGTAAATTCGCCACGCTGCCTAGGTCCGTGATCAAAGTTATGAAGATCAAACTGCGTAAGTATTGGAAAGTCAATGTTTTACAATCTGTGAGCAGGACTTCTCTGTCAGAAAGGCTCGTAGTCTTGTGTAGGTAACTTATTTACACAGACTTCCATCTACCTTCAGTTTGGTATTTGCATTGTTTAGTTTTGAATGAAACTAAACTTAATAATACCTGAAAAACGCGAAGAAAACATCTTCCATGAGAAAGCTTATAGTATTTTTTAGTTCAAACGTTATTCTGAAAATTAGCAGCAAAAAGTTAGCACAAAATTTTTCTTTTACGCAGCCATTTTGAAAATTTGAATGTTGTTTATACAAACTATTGCCGTCCTTCTCTATTTGTTGCAAAACTTTTTAAAACAATTTAATAATACCCAATTGATCAAATCTTTGTAAAATTGCAATCGAAATTAACATTTTATTAATTTATAATAATTTAGAGCGTAGAAAAAAATATTCGAATTCAAGAATATTAAGGTACCTATTAATTACAATATTTTTTTTTGTTAAACATTATCAAGTTTTACAATTGTCCCGTTATAGCTTTTCTCTTGATTTGTCTGCAGCGCGAGACCGTTTCCCGTCGACTTCCTCGACGGAGGATAACGAGAGCGGCACGGATTGGGACGCGGAGGGTCGCCATCCTGCCATGACACACCCTCGCCACCCACCACCACCTCAGGTACCATTTATGTCCTACCTACAAAGATGTTCAAGGACCATTTTCACCAACCACTTCTTAACTACGAGTTACCTGAGGGACCTAAACTAATCCCTTACCTGTATAGTTAGGTGTCACTTATAGGTTGGTGAAACTCAAAAAATCGTTAAGCACCGCTTATCTTTGCTTAGAATTTAGCAGCAGTTTGCGTAACAGTGGCATGTTGCAGTTGCGTAGCAGTAACGTGAAGTAGTAACTTATAGCAGTTACGTAGCAATGACGTGTAGCATTGCGTAGCACCCCTACATTTCTGACTTTGGATTAGGAAAATAAACTTAACATAACTATGCATTTTGAAATTTTGTTCAGCTTTTTCAGCGGTATCTCTCACGTGCGTAGCCAAAATAAAATTTAACCTTTTTAGAGGCTATAGATAATTATTACAAGATTATGATTGTTGCAGAGAATGGAGAGCACAGACTGGAACACGGACAGCCGTCACCTCGCTATGACGCACCAACGACACCCTCCACCTCCGCAGGTACCTAAATTATAGACATGACACATTCATTATCAAGTTATTAATTAAACTTGATCGTAATTTCGTATTTCGTTAATATTTAAGTGTGTAATCTATGAGTTTAGGCTTTTTAAATATATTTTTTTATTTTATAGCCTGGACGTAGGTACCTAATATTTTTTTACTGATTTAAAAATATTCTATGCTTTTCACAGAATAATTGTTTTTGGCTTACTCATGTAAATGTTTTGACTAGAAACTCGACTCTTTTTAAGCCATGCTAGAAGCTCATATTCACGTGTGAGCCGAAAACATAATAATTAATTTAGTATGTCAAATGCCGGAATACTGAAACGTTACTCAATTTTAAGTCGTGCTCAAATATCGTGCCATCTCTGTCATTTTACAAAGAATTTGTAGAGATAGAACTATACTTAAGCACGACTTAAAATTGAGTAGCGTTTCAGTATTCCGACATATGAAAGTTATAATTTGCACAGAATACCTACATTAATTATTTCTTCAAATCAAAATTTTATTGTACGTTTGACTAATGTAGTCCCTCAGTTTTTCTGACTAATGTCCAAATACTCAAACGCCATTCAATTTTAAGTCGCGCTTAAGTATAGTTCTACATAACATAACACGCCTTTTATCTCCGAATGGGTAGGCAGAGGTGCTCATTATGCCACTGTACAATGTAACACCTACTTTTCACTATTCCCATGTAATAGAGTGTGAACCTATTGCCATGTATGTGGCACAATTCCAGACTCTGTACTACTACTGAGATTTATTTAAAAACCTAGTAATACTTTGCACGACCCGGGAATCGAACCCGAGATGCAACCACTCGGCCAACGAGGCAGTATAGTTCTGTCACTTTAAATTCTTTGTAAAATGACAGATGGCACGATATTTAAGTACAACTAAAATTGAGTTTTTTTTAAGTCGTCGAGTACCGTATTTATAGACACAATTAAAGAACAATAGGTTGCGGTCACCTGTGTCCGCTTGGTGTTTGACAGTTTAACTCGTCGAGTACCGGTTTTATAGACACAATTAAAGAACAATAGGTCGCGGTCACCGGTGACCGCTTGGTGTTTGACAGAAAATCATCGAATGGCTGCTCCCGAACTAAAATTGAATAGCCTTTCAGTATTTGGCTGTAATTCGTTTCAATTTAATTTAATCAGGCGGTGATAGTCGGCTCCGTGCGCAAGCGCCGTGGCAACCTACCGAAACACTCTGTAAAGATTTTGAAGAGATGGTTGTATGACCATCGTTACAATGCTTACCCCAGCGATGCTGAGAAACTGGCGCTCAGTCAGGAGGCCAACCTTACTGTATTGCAGGTGAGACGAAGCAAACTAAATTGTTATAATCAATTGATAATATGTGAAAGAAAAATAGAACACTAATATATATGAGATGTATTTTCCGTAGTAGCTATAAGTCTACTCAGCAGCTGTAGCCAAATGCCATTTAGCGCTTGTCTACATATAGAATAGAAAACCAAATTATATGGAATTCACGTAAATTTACTCTGTCTGTAGACAAGCGCTAAAGTGGCGTTTGGCTAAAGGCACTGGTAACTATACTCAGGTATGCTTATTGAAGCAGCACCACAAGCCAACAAAGAGATAATTGCCATTTTCAAAATACAGCCTTGGGAATAAACTACAACATATACACATCAACAGCCTATAAGTGCCTACTGCTGAGGAAAGCCTCTTATCACACGGAGAAGATTTGAGCATTAATCACCACGCATGCTCAATGCGGGTTGGCGATTTCAAATTTATAATAAGAAATTATAAGTCCAGGTTTCCTCACGATGTTTTCCTTCACCGTTTGTCAGTGGTGTCTAAATAATCTTAGAAAATACATATAACATTGGTTCTTCTCGGGGATAGGTTTCGAATCTGCGTTCTCATGCATAAGAAGCGGGCGTCTTAAATCTCCAAAACATCACCACATTAGCCTTACAATAATGTCATTGCTTTAGGTCTGCAACTGGTTTATAAACGCTCGGCGACGTATCCTGCCGGAGATGATCAGACGCGAAGGTCACGATCCCCTCCACTACACCATATCACGGCGCGGCAGGAAGCAGCCAGGCGCTATGGCAGGAGTCGGACCTATGGTGGGATTAGGTGGAGCGTCCACGTCAGGGCTCGGTGTCGCACCCGGAGACAGTGTCACGGTAGCAGCATGGGATGGAATTGTTGTGGAGGTTTGTTGGAGAAATTTAAAAGTTCTCGTTATATATAGCATGTTTGATGATAGGAGAGTGATTCATGACTTCATGAAATATAAATGATTGCTAAGCTAATCCTAGTAATACTCACAGAATGGACCAGACGGACGAGCGCATGACTATGGAGATGGCCTGCTGGTCTACCGCAGTGACGGTGACGAGCTTGGAGATGGAGAGGAGGGCTACTCCAGCACCATCAGCGAGGAGGAGGTCAAATACGATCCCTCCGTCTGGCAGTCCGTCATACGGTATGGACCAGAAGACCACGACCTGCATCCAGCCGCTAGGGAGTGAGTCTGGAATGTTCTTATGTCAGATCGCTAGTGATATTGCTTAGTGACTCATCGCTACAGGTTTTGCTTAGTCCCACATGAGGTGTGTTTCGGCTGATGTGACAGCCATTAGTAAGTAGGACCTGTACTTTAAGGTTAGAATACGAACTTATGACATTGAGCAGTCTAATGTGTAAGTCACAGCGAGGAATACTTTCCCTCCCACAGCAGAGCGTCAGTCGTATCAGTGGCCACGACACAGGTAGAACAAACCAACGAGCCGAGGGACACTGATTCAGAGCAGTTCTGCTCCAGAGCAGCAAGGGCTATTGTCAAACGCTGGTACAATACACTATCAATTCTCTAAACGTTGCTAAATCTTCCGCACGATAATCCGACGTGTGCATGTTCACGGCATGTTCTCCTACTACAGCAGTACGGCATCGATGGTGACAGTGTCGACGTCGGAGGAGATGGTGGAGCAGGTGCCGGAGCCGGTGTCGAGCAGTGAGGACGGGTGGCAGGCGCTGGCGCACCCGCAGCTGGCGCACCTGCCGCAGCTGCCGCACCCGCTGCGCGCGCGCCGCATGCAGGTGAGCCCGCCCCCGCAGCCGCCGCCGCCCGTCGCCGTCGAGCTGGAGGTGGCCACCACCGACATGTGGTGCCACACCTAGACCACGCCCGCGGAACTACATGTCACAATCGTACCATTTGTACTACACTTTATTCTTACAGTTCTACTCAAAGAGAGAAGATTCATTTACCGAAAATTTGATTTTGAATTTCTTTGCCTCTTTGTTTAAAAATAAAATATGTTTGGAGTTTTTAATTATATAATTTGGCTACGCGGACGCTGTAGCCCCGCTTTAGATTGACGCATGTTTTTGTACATACCTAACTGTAGGAGACGTCGGTGTTAAAACACTATAGTTCCCTTTAAAATCAAGTGTTCCTTATAATATAGTTAAGAGAACTTATGTTAGTGTTTTTGTTTTGTTTTTAGCCTAGAGACGAGTTTCTGTTTGTTGTGTAAATAAACTTTTATACTAAATGCTTTGATTTTCATTCAAGTAGTTGGACTTTGTAAGGTAACATGGGCGCGGGGTGTTTTAATGCCGGCATCACCTGACAGTTATTGCTTTGGAAGTTCTTTTAGTTATTGTTTACCTTTATCATTATATAGTTGTCAAAATCTTTAAAAGCCCGATGGCTTATTGTTTATTTAGCTTAATAAGTCCGTCTGACGAGGAACATAACTGCAGGTGGTGCCGAGGCTGGAGGGTGATCAGGACAAGTTCAAGTGTCTGTACCTCCTGGTGGAGACGGCAGTGGCAGTGCGCCAGAGGGAGAAGGAACAAGAGGAGGCAGTACTCCCTGTTTAATAACTGTGCCTTACGAACTATTTTTTCATTCTATGTTATAAGATAAAATAAATCGTTGTTATGGTAACCGCTCCTAAGTAGCATATAGAAAGTGTTAAGATTTATAAAATACTATGATCAAATGAAATAAGCACGATATTTGTTTTTCACATTTTCCACAATCAGTTTTCTTCGTCGTAAGAGATGTTTTTGTTTAAGTCTACTTAACTAGAAGTTAAGCGAATTATTTAATAATTTTGTTATTTGGAATATTGTAAGTAAACGAATGAAATGAGGCCCTTAGAATAAGATCGTACATGATTTGTTAAGTGATCATCATTAATAAATTTCATTCGCAAGTTGAGTTTCTTATTTTTAATTAAGTTGAGAAATAAATGAAAAAATTGAAAATTAAATGAAAGAGTAGAAAATTAATTGAAAGAATAGAAAATTAATTGAAAGAATTGAAAATGAAATTAAAAACGAATTGTTTTGAATTATATTTATATGTGGTTTGTAGTATTATTGATGATTGTTCCCGTTATTCGTCAGTATCTGGTACAGTTGTAGTTACTTGTATAACTATTATTATTCGATAAACCGGATGTTATGGATGTAATGGATGCCCCTCCTTGGCCTCACATTTGTAATACCATACTATAAACTTGAGTTTGCATTTTTCAGCCGAAGCTTGTGTCTTCATATTTGCAAAAGTACCGAACAAGATTTTTGTGAGATATAAGGAAGCAAGGAGCATACGGATCAGTAGATGGTAGATAAAGCGACCAACATCGCCTATGGACACAAAATTAATTTAGTATGAAATACCGTAAAACTTGGTGAACGTCGAACCACATTCGTATATCTATTCAGAGGGTGAATAAATGTTTATTCACCCCTCTTATGTATTTATTCACCCCGTTTGACTGGATTACACTATTGGCGTTGGCGTTGGCGTTGTTCCAATTCTTCTAATCTAGATCTGGCAGCTTCGGCAGCGTTACGAGCAGCCCTCGCTCTGGCTTCAGCCTCAGCAGCTTCGCTCGTAGCTGAGGAAACTATATCGTCATTGACCGTACTCTCCTTCCTCCTTGAAGCGACATCTATTGAAGATTGTGTAAACGCTCTGACAGCTCGTATTTTTGCTAAAGCTTCAGCTTCCAGTTTCTCAGCCTCAACCAAAGCGGCATGAGCTACTATTGGCTCTAAGTACAACTGCACTTCTGCAAAAATATCATCTGGGGATTGTTCCGCATCGATCTGAAATTAAATGGTGTATTATTACAATTTTTCTATTATGTGTGTATATTTACGACTATCTAGCTACTTCATACTGCTTAACATTTTTAAATTTCATTTGTCAAACTGAGAAGTCTTTTTTAAAGTCGATTAATGAACATAAGAACATCACGTCTTTTATCCCTGAAGGAGTAGGAAGAGGTACTCATTACGGCACTTAATGCCACTGTACAATGTAACACCCACTTTTCACTAATCCCATGTAATAGGGGGTAAGCCTATTACCATAAACCGGGCACTTTGTGTGTATGTGTGAATGTAGTCAGTAGCAACTGAGATTTTTTTTAAACCCAGTAAATCGTTGCCCGACCCAGAAATCGAACATTTGCAACCACTCGGCCAACGCGGCAGTCGGTTTATGAAATTAGTTAATAGTTAATAATAAAATATTCTTAATCTAGTGTAATAAATGCTGTACCCTTTTAACTTTACTGCCATAAGGTTCTATGACGCTGTGGTTATGCTCAATGAAGGTTGCTATGCGCATCTTCATGATCCTGAATTTATCATCTTTCCTTCTATTGTCTTCTGTTGACGCTTCTGCACGGCCAAGTAGCCGGCGGCACAAGGTGGTAGGCGATGCTTCGAAATATAGGATCAGCTAGGAAATGAAGAACATAATAGAGAACCAAAGTGAAAGAGATGGACACGTTTCGATATTGCAAATTGTAAGAGATTCAAAATCAGGAGTAAAATTAAGTGATCGAGGGAAAATAGTGATATTAGACGGTTGATTGATGGAACTGAAGGAGGATTGAAAGATGATATAGTGATAAGGATTGAAAAGGGAATGTTACGATGGTTTGGACATGTGGAAAGGAGGGATAAAAGCAGAGCGAGCCGTCTAGGACGCCGTATATGTCCGTACATATATTACCGTATATCCAGATTGGCCATATATTAAAGAATGACTGACTGACTGACTGTTGATGAAGCGAAAGAGATATGTAAGAATCGTAGCAATTGGCGTTCCATAATCTTTGCTTGCCCCATGAGAAACAGGCGTTTGGTTATGTATCTATGTAAGAGGTCTAAATTACAATATACCACCGCCTGATTATTACGAATTATGACATCTACTGACTAATATTATTGGGATGAGCTTATTGTCATATGCCGGGAGGCCGGGAATCAATCTATAATGCTCTCGACCATGACGCCTTCAATAATTCACTACTGACGCATGATACTTTATGTGCACTTTGAGACTATCGATGCAGACACGTGACCGTATCAATACTGTATCGCAACAAAAAGTTCGCTGTGGGCGAGGGCCCTTGGCGTCACAAAATACAGTTTTAGACCAATTCGGATTAATCTAGGACTATCACTGTTGTGTGAAATAATTATGTTTCTTACCGCGACTGGTCCAATAGTCCTCTCAAACTCTGCACCTTGATTTTTCTCACGCGGGAACCCATCTATTAGGTAGCCATGTGTTCCTTTTTTAGCAGCGTCTTCCATAGCATCCTTCAGTACTGCTAAAACCATGTCGTTGGGTGCAAGGCCGCCTTCACAAACAAGTCATTTTGTAGAAAACAATTTTATCACATGTGTAATTGACTCAAAACCAAGATATTGATGAATATGAGGCAAACTCTGTTGAATTAAAATAATATGGGAAATAGACGGCTCGGTGTTCAAACTCGTATCAAACTTTTAGTATTAGATTAATGAACAAATCTTTATGTAGTTGCCGATAAATATTTCATTTGATAATCTTTCAACAGGAAGATTATTTGTCAGGATTGTATAAGGAGCTAAGAGGTCGTTTCGGGAGTAGCTACATAATATAAAAAAATACTGTTCTGTTCTTCTCTACCAGGCATTAAGTTAAAACAAAATCATACTGATACTTAAATAAAATAACCTTAAAACTTTACATACCTCGTTGCATAATAGAAGTTAGGCATTTGCCTCTACGAGTCCCAGTCTTCACTTCATCTCTGATTAAATCTCCGGTGGACAGGTGGGTGTATCCATATGTTTCCACCACCTTGGAACATTGAGTGAACTTGCCAGATCCTGGGCCTCCCAGTACCCATACTATAGGCTTAGTTTCAGGGTCAAATTTCGACTAGATAAATGATTGGGGAACAAGAAAGAATGTGTTATTTTTGGAAGTTATTGGGTCTAGTGGATGCTAATAATGATGAACGATGATGCTATTTTTAGGACGAATAGGTTTTCAGTAAAGTGATGCAATTATAATGCAAAAGTAGCAGCTATTTACTTAATATAAGAAAGATGTAGTGGCCCCAACAATTTGGAGAAGCTTGTGGTTGTTGGTTAGGTTAACGGGAAAAGACCTCGTGGTCGCTCACCTACCCGGTGGTCGGATACTGTAAAAAACCTAACCGGCCTGACAGTTCCACAAGCCATAAAGACCGCAGAGGACAGGGGCGTTTGGAGGAGGGTTGTGCATCAAGTGACGCGTGCACCAGACTAGACACGACCTTCAGTAATGAAGAGAACGTAGGAAGAAGAAGAAAGATGTAATGTTTGCTAGTTAGGGTTTTTGTATTGAATGGATTGGCGTTTGGCTGCTATCCTGTCTGATGGTAAGCGATGATGAAGGGCTGGGCAATAAGTAGGAAATTTCATAATAGAACGAGTTAGCAACATTAGTCGTCTTAGTCGTAGGAAACGAAGCTTTACATTTATTCAAATATAACAAATATTTTAATTACGCTTCACTAAAAGCATGTTAAAAGACTGATGAAAAGAAATTTATCACTTGGTCTTGAATTTTTTTTTATTTTAAGGGAGGAAAATCATCGAATGACTGCTCCCGCCTGGGTGACGCGGGAGGGAGTGGCAGACTCTTACTGACTATAAACCACCCCGTTCCTTCTCCTGCATGTCGAGCCGAAGCCCCGGTTACCAGTTAGGTTCTCCGCGACACTTGGTCTTGAATAGATTTAGAATGAATAATTTGAGGGAGGTTTATGTTCAGTACTGGACGTCTGTAGGGGAGGTCTATGGCTGATATGATGCTGAATTTTATTCCTACCAACCTTGGTCTGATAGGCCTTGCACTGCATAGCCCGACATTGCAGTGGGCACGCTGGTAGCTTGTCAATTGCTGGCTCTTCACACCCAGAGCACAATTTCTGGTCTAGAGGCGGTTTTTTATTCTCCATAACAGATTATGTTGGGAAGTTATGCCAGATGATTATGAATTGTGAACTGGTGCCAGAATTTATTGTATTTGCATGGTGTTAATAAGAATTTTCCCGTTGTTGTTTTTACCCCGTCATTTTGTTGTTGTGTTTCTTGACAGACTGAATGACAAATTACTTTTGAATGAATGGATTTTTTTTATGTTGTGTCAGATTATGGTTGGTATCTGTCACGGATCGTAGAAGATAGAGTTTCTGCTCTTTCTTCCTCTCATCTTTGAATTTATAAAATACGACAGTCTTCTGGATAGATAAGGTAAGGTCTATGTTCAGCAGTGGACGATTTTTGACTGATGTGATGATAGCGAGACCTCAGTTAGTGATCTTGAAAAATTTTATATTCGGACAAAGAGGTCTCCAAATCATTTCAATTCCAAAAAAGAAACGCAATTAAAATAAAAACATGATTTAATTAACGATCATTAGATAAAATATTTAAAATTAATGTAAAGTAGAGATGTATGTACAAGAGTATAAAATTTTGAGTTGTGCGCTTAAGCACCCACTACGAGGGGGTCCAAGATCTTCTGAACTTCATCAAAGATGGTGTCCACTGAGGCTTCGGCGTTTATCTGAAATTATAACAAGGAATATTATAGATTTTCAAATAGGTACTTTCAAGAACTTTGAATGCCTCGATGGTCCGAGTGGTCGCAAGTGCGTCTATCCGGCAAGGGGTCTCAGGTTCGATTCCCGGGTCAGGCAAAGTATTACTAAGTTTTAAAAAAAAATCTCAGTAGTAGCACGGAGTCTGGAATTGTGCCCGGTATATGGCAATAGGTATTAATATTTAACATAAATAGTGAAAAGTGGGTGGGACTTCTGTGTGCACTAACAAAAAAAAAAATACTTTCAAGAAGTCTATAAAGCTTTTCAAGGGTTGAGAAATAATGTACGATTGGTGAGGTTTCGTGATTTTATGGAACAACTATCTACCCTCGTGCTGTTCCCCCGCTGCTCTTATTGATAGTTATAGCAGAGTGATTTGTATTGTAACTTTCGTGAGACATACTAAATAAATTATATAAATAAACTAGTCGAGTTCCTCGTCAAATTACTACGTGAGTAAGCCGAAAACATAATAATTTATATAGTAGAGTGATGTTTTATTACCTATACCTTCGATAAATGAACTATTCAATACGAAATAATTATTCCAATCGAACTAATAGTTCCTGCGCGCGTACAAACAAACTCTTGAGATATATAATATTAGTACGGTATAGATATTTCTACATACCCTGCTAATTTTGTCAGGATACTGGTCCAGAACTTGCTGGTTGTTGTCGAGGAAGGTCTTCAGGCGCAGTTTGATGGTCTCCTCGTTGTCGTCAGCTCGGCCAGAGCTGGCGGCACGGCCCAACAGCCTCTTCGTCAGTGTCTCTGATGAAGCTTCGAAGTAGATTATCACCTGGAATGAAAGTTAGCATGTTGAAGATATGGCTAAATTGGATAAGTACGTTTTTATAGTTTTTATAGTAATTATATTTAACATAACATAACATCACGCCTTTTTATCCCCGAAGGGGTAGGCAGAGGTGCCACACCTACTTTTCACTATTTATGTTATGAGTCCCATGTGATAGGGGGTGAGCCTATTGCCATATACCGGGCACATTTCCAGACTCCGTGCTACTACTGATATTTTTTTTAAAACTCAGTAATATTTGCCCGACCGAGGAATCGAACCCGAGACCCCTTGCCCGGCAGTCGCACTTGCGACCATATTTACCGACATATATTTAACTTCTTTTATTTTATGTCCAAGTGACGATGATGGTGGTAAGTGACGATGATGTTACCCCTTTCTCGTTATAAATATGACTACGATATACACAACGCAAGTACTGTTTCACACCGGTTTCCTGTATGTGAGACTATATCACTCCAGTCAAGCCAACCCGTTCATGTCACAGAAGGCTCTCGGACGTGAAAAATCACCAAATGTATTTTTTTTTAAAGAATAGATTACGATTAAAACACTTACAGATACAGGAGCAATGGCTTGTTCGAAGGCGATACCCTGTGACTTCTCCCGAGGGTAGCCGTCTACCAGGAAACCTTTGGAGTCAGCGGCACGGGACACGATGGCCTCTTTCAGCAGCTCCAACACCACATCGTTGGGGACCAGACCACCTGGAAATATAGGGAACATTTTTGTACACGGTTGGTTGGTTTTTTTAACGTGACTTCACACTAGCACACAGGAGAAGCCTGTGTAGTAGGTCCACAAATATAACATAACACACCAGAATTTGTGAATTAAACAAAAAATTGCCCCATGCAACAATCGAACCCAGGACAAGTTGAGCAGCTGGAGGAATGGTTATTAGTTTCTTTTTGTTACAAGAAAATCTGAATTTTTTAACATATAAAGGCATCTGACGATACGACCTCGTCCTAAGGACCACATCCTTACTATAATATTATAAATCGGAAAGTGAGTTTGTTTGTTTGTTTGTTTGTTTGTTCCACTTTCACGCTGTAACTACTAAACCGATTGATTTAATTTTTTGCAGACGTAAAGTTATAAGTCTGGATTAAATAATAGGGTACTTTTTATCCCGGAAATATTTGATATTCTAGAGGGAAAACGAAATTATTGGTATAGATGGCGCTGTGTGTATTGGTATATGTCACATAGGCTACTTTTTATCCTTTTGTGACGCGAGCGAAGCCGCGGGTAAAAGCTAGTACTTAAATAAATAAAAGACTATCAAAAATTTACCAGCTCACCTTGTTCCATAATAGCAGTGAGGGTCTTCGCTCTCTCGGAGCCGCTCTTCACCTCAGCCCTCAGCAGGTCTCCAGTGGAAAGATGTGTGAAACCATACTTGGCTATGATCTTCTCACACTGGGTGCCCTTGCCGGACCCTGGACCTCCCAGCACCCAGACGATGGGTTTCTTTGATGTATCGATAATGGGGGCCTGGAAAATTAGTTTTATGGCATAAGAATGCGTGTGTGAAGGCAGCACATTAATACACGTCTTGATGTCAACTCCGTATATTCACGACTGGTTTATAAAAACTTACGAGGTGGGCGGAGCCGCCACTAAAGTGCGATCTCAGCATTCTGTGAATGCGTACATATGTGTAGTATATATTGATATGGGTCCCTACAGTAGCCCCGCTCATAAAAAAAAATTTACCCATTATATATACATATCAATATATGTGTAGTATATATTGATATGTGTCCCTTTCAATTGTGATACCTGTTTTGCTACTAAGTAAATATTATAATTTGGAATGCTTTAATTCAGTTTAGCTAAGTCATATAATTTGTTTGAGATAAAAATAAATAATCTACAAAATGTTCAAGTAAAAATCTACCTATATCATCTAATAGTAACTAGCTGTTGGCTGCGACTTCGTCCGCGTAGAATATGATTCCTCTTTTATCCCATGGGATCATCTAATCGGGATAAACAGTATTCTATCACCTAAGTCATGGGCTTGCAGCCATTGCAGCGGTAAGTCCCCTCTTTGAGGAGTGGCTTGAGAGACGCTACGGCGTCCTCACCTACCTCCTGACGCAGTTCCTCACCGGACATGGAAGTTTCGGGAGGTATCTATGTCTGATGACCTAAGTCATTCCATGCCCTGCCTGTATACCACATCACATCAAATATCCTAGATTGGCGGACATACACCCAACCAAAAAAACTTTCACAAGTATAGTATTACTGTAATCTGTCAGATAAACACTGAAACTATACTACCTAAGTAATAGCTTTATTGGGTACCTGGTTTTATTAAATCCATGAAATCTAAGAACAACGAAACTCTCGACATTATTTTAGCAAAATTTTAACATTTTCTTCATTTTCTTTTATCAATAAACCTGCACTACTAAGAAAAGATATATAACAAGACAATTGTCCCCAACCTTATTAAATTTGCAATTAGGTGACTTGCAACGTGTGACACATTTCTTCCTGGACGCTTCCTGAGGATCTTGGGATTGCCTGCACCTTAAGCCCGACATTTATACCAGAAGTGGGGTCAGCAGAAAGCTAGGTACTGACTCAGAAGTTACGTTAATATGTACATGTTTTTATTTTTGAGTTTTATTAAAAAATGTGCCGCCATTGGAGTTAGGAGCGACCCACTAGATTTATTTAATTATGTTGTGTGGTATTTTAGTTTTTTGAAATAGGTCCCAATGTTTTTTTATGGTATAAGCCGGTAAACGAGCAAACGGATCACCTGATGGTAAGCAACCGGCGTCGTCCATGGACATCTGGACTGGAACACCAGAGGCGTTACAAGTGCGTTATCGGCCTTTTGGGGATTAGGAGTTTGAGGATTGTTGGAGATTCAGGGATTGGGAAGATTGTTAAAGCGGGAGGGGGAAAATCAAAACATTTATTTTAATAAAAAAATATTCTGGTACTTTTGAAACGTCAACAAATACAAAATAAAAAATAGTCTATCAGTCTGTCCGTCAGTGAAGCTAGCTCGTTCCAAAAATGTAGATTCGAATGGAGAAGAACGAGCAAGAAACTCTATTAGTTACTCTTTCAAAAAACATATTTTACAATCTCTCTGATACATTATTTAATATTGCATATGTGAGAACAATATAAAGACACGCTTGATACATAATACAAATTACAAACACGATTATAAACAAATTACAATTACGCGTATGACTATAAGGTATCAAAGCATAGTTGTCAGCACGTTTGATTGAAACCGATGTGGTATTATTGATTACTTGAGCCAATTACTCTTCACCGTAAGTTATTATCGGATCGATAGGTACTCGATAGTCCATCAACAATGTATCTAAGGGTAATCCAGTTGTACGTATTATATGGTTGATTGTGTGTTATATTTTAAACTGGGTTTTTATAAACAGGCGCCATCACTGAATCCGGTAAAATGTTAAGGTTAGGCACTCATTGAGCCGCGGAAGACTTAACGGGTTGCCGGGGCTTCGGCTCGAAGTGCAGG